TGTGTGTGTGTACATGTGTGTGTGTGTGCCTGTGTGTGTGTGTACACGTGTGTGTGTGTGCTGTGTGTGTGTGTGTGCTGTGTGTGTGTGTGTGTGTGTGTGTATGTGTGTGTGTGTTTGTGTGTTTGTGTGTGTGTACACATACACGTGTGTTTGAGTGTTTGTGCACATTTTTGTGTGTATGTGTGTGTGTGTGTGTGTGTACACATATAGCTCGATCATTAAATAGACGGGCAAATAAGACAAATCAAGACCGGTGCACAAACATCAATCGCATATGCGTAAGACAAATGCAGTCGGGGGACTTAATAAGCACACCTGTGTGTCCAAAGATGCATTTTACATCGTCTACGTACCATATGCGAGTTGCTGAGATCGGTCAAGAGGGAGAAGATGTCGCCAGGAGTGCTTCTCCCGCTTCCCGGTGCGCCCGTGCTCATGTAGCCAGTTGCATTAGCCATAACTGGGAGACAGGTTCATATGCACTAATGTCTACTTGTCTAGTGATATTTAATCTGCTATGTATATATCCATTCAAAATTTGTCTAAAAGGTGAGGATTAGCTGTGCAATATGTACAACCCAATTGTTATTTTCCGTTGTCTCCCTCTACACAGAAATAGTAGAGAGAGAGAGAGAGGGGGTATATCTGAATCCTACTAACTTTGCACTCTAGATGTATTGGATACACTGATATATACAGAGTTATTGACGCTTATTCGCACTATCGTTGGGTGTAATCACTGTAACAACTAATGTATTTAGTACTCGTGCTCTGTTAAACCTTAAGAGTAAGAAATGTGGCTTTATTTCACCAATTCAGTGTGGGGTATTCACCGAATGTCCTCTACAGATATGTTCCAGATAATTAAACAGAACACTCCAGTTATCCCCCGTGGCTCACGGACAGTCCCAGACTGACAGACTCCCAGACTCCCAAGTCCAACACACACCGTGAGTTAATGACACAGCCCAGATGAAGGTATGTGTGATGAATTGGGAATTGGGGATTGGGGATTGGGGAATGGCCGACTCAACACTGGCAGTCTGGCACTCTGGCAGTCTAAGCCTCAATCCGTTAAAAAAGGTCCATTTAAAAAGTTATCGCTTATATATTTGATATATACACATTAAAAACCGGGACAAAAGGAACATATCTACTGTACATACTTAACAGGCCCATTACTGGGAATAACCATGAACACTTTGGATCTGAGGGCTCTGAATATGCACCCATGATGACAACAAAAGGGCCATCTCGATATAAACGTTGAGCGCAAATATAAAAATGTTTTCTTTATACACATCATCGTTTTTTAAGAGTAAAATAGAACGTTTGGGCTCTGGTGACTGCCAGGCGCCAGGCCGCCAGCCCTCGGGCTTGGCGTAAATATGTACTGGGCTTCTCCTAGGCTCCTGGCTGGCTGGCTGTCTGGCTGGCACTGTGGCAGTCTATAAAAAAAGTCTGACATTGGCTGGCTACTGGCTAGTCTGGCTTCTGAAGTTTTCTCTTCTTGAGTCTCTCTTAGTGTCCTCAAGTGTGTTGTCAGTTGTCGTTGTGTGAAATATTTTCGTACAGTGGTTATTTATTTATTTATTGAAATACGACTCAAACATGTCAATATGTACAAATAAAACAATAGGCCAATGAATTCTAATAGAAGTCCCAAACGATGAATGTTTGCGGCTGCGAGCCTGCGACTCTATTATTAGTCTAAAAAAACTAGAGTAGATACGTCTTTATGACTAATAAAATTGGGAGTCGTTCCAAAATAGCTATTTTATTTTATTATACAAAATAAAAGTCATTTGAAAAAGATAATCGGAGCTGTCAAATTTTATTTAGAAAGCGAAGCCTTTCCTTCCTACATATTTTAGGGTTTAGGGTTCTAGGGTTTTATTTTTTTAAACAAACTCTAAATATGTGTCAGAATCATGTATGTGACACGACTGATGACTCTGCACTGACATCATCATAAATAATTCATCACTATTCATAATTTTCAGGATAATATTTATAGAGAAATCTTAAAACATCAAACCACCATAAATAGAGCCACCTACACACGACACCTACGATTCTAATATTATTTTAGAAACTATTTTTAAATATATGTATTATATAAATAGAAATCACATGATGTCTGATCATTATATTATTGTTTCTTTTTTTAAACAACGAATTAGCAAATTATGTATGGTAGACTGTAGAGTACATACATATTTATGTAAATATCGTAATTTTGGGGGTTTTTTTTTAAATATATATATATGTATTTACTGTAAAAATAAAAATTAAAAAATTAAAATAAAAATACAGGACATAGGCGTGCATGTATCATTGTTTTCTTTTTTATTTAAAAAACAAACCAATTTATTTATGGGGGTTTTTCAGTGCGCTGTTAACATTTTTATTAATAAATAGTGCACAACTCAAGTTTTTTTTAAGGAAACCACCGTACCAGGTGGAAACCCCTTTCTATTGCACAGTCTAATATACAAGTTGTTAACTCTAGAACTGAATAGATAACGAACTGTAATAAACTATTTATAAGCCAACGCCCTAACTGCT